CTTTTATCTGTTAACAGAGGCAGATTGGTAGCAGGTGTGTGCAACTCATCTCAGGAGTGCTAGAGTTGTATTCACCAGCTGCACAGGTTCTCTCCACTGATAGAAAACACTTGAGGGTAATGTCTGGGTCTAAAACCAGGCAAATTATATTTAAAGTAAATAATAATGATAAAAATAAAAAAAGGTCAAAATCTGCTTTTTATTTCAAAGGTGTACTCCAGTAGAATAAATGTGTGAGCAGCTGCTGAGGTGGGCACAAAATGATTCAAGTAGGAGACAATGTGGACAGAGGTGGACAACAAATGTGCATGGCCAAGAATGACTTCTTTTTTTTCAGTTTAATAAAAAAAAAAAAAGATAAAAAAATGAAGATGAGAATATTTAGATAGATGATAGATAGATGTATACTTTATTGTCACTAAGGTAAATTTGTCTTGGAAATTGTGCGCTAACAAAGCTTCTTCCACAATTAAATACACCACAACCAATAAAATCATGTGAACCCCATAATAAAATACAAAAATATAAAACACCTATTAATAAAATCACACAATTCAATAAAAACACATATTGCACATTCCCACACACATTCCAGCAAGTAAACAACACGACAATGAGACCAGAGCATCAGCACATGTCAAAAAACAAAAAAACAAACAAAAAAATACATATACTTTTATTGTCTCCTTAAACCCCTGTTCTCCATTTGACATTTGGGGCCAGGGGCGGGGGTTGGGAGGTGGGGTGGGGGGTGGGGTAGGTCGCCTGGTTGGGGTCTGGGCTGTGGGTGGGCACTGGGCCTTGGGGGGCGATTTGGGGCGGGGCCGGTGCTCTGGTTCTGCCTGGGTTGTTCGTTTTTTTTTTTAATCAAGGTTCCTGGTTTCGATAGCCGGCCCTTTGGAAGGGGTAGCTGCCGGGATCCGGCAGGGGGTCGGCTGTGGTTGTGTGTGTGTGGTCGTTGGTGGTGTATGGCAGCAGTCGGGGGCTTGGCTTAGCTTTGACAGGGCGCTGGTTGATCAGACTGTTGTGACATTTGCGGTGGGGTTGCTGTCTGTATATGGAGGGGGGCGTAGGTGGCGTGCCGAGGCTTCTCCGGGCCTGTGGTGTGGGGCTATTGAGGTGCCTGGTCCTTGGTGTGCTGGGCCGGCCTTCCTCAGCTGCTGCTCTGGCCCCCGGCCTGCGGCTGGCTTGCGGTCGCTATCAGGAGGGTGGAGCGCATGGACGGCCAGACAGAGGCTCTGTAGGGCCGTCTCTGTGTGCCTGTTTATGTCTCGGGTTGGGTTTTAGGTGGTCCCCTCTCTTGGATCAATTTGGGACCCCAATTAAGTGTAGGATCTACTTCCCCCTGTCGAGCTCTCCTTCGGTGGTGGCCCCCCCTGCCGCCGGTGCATTGGTGGCTCTTAACATCTGGGACTGGGTGGTGGGGTGTGTGCAAGCCCACCCTGGTGGCTGCCTGCCAGGGCCTGGGTGCTCTGGTTCTGTTGGACCTCTGTTGGGGGGTGGTATGACCTCGGCGCTCGGTGTCCATGGCCGGATCCACTCTGGAGGGTCAGGTTGCCGGCAGGGCCTGTGGACTCGTCGCTGCAGCCTCCTGCGGTTTCTGCATTGTGGTTGCTGGGGATTGCCCAGGGCTTCCCTTTGCTTCTGTCTCTGGGGGGTGAGGGTGTCCCTGTTCGGGGACTCCTGGAGCTCCGGGCTTGGGGGCCGCTGTGTGTCTGTGGCTCCTGTCTTCCCTGTGTTACCTTCATGTCCTGTGGGGATGGATCGGTGGGTCCTCACATTCACTATTGAACATTTTTATGGAAAAATATAGTGACAACATGCTCACACAGGTGTTTAGATTCAGGTGTTTATCAATTACACACTCAGTTGGGTTGTGGTGGCCATCAAATATATCTTGTATTACCATGTACTGTATAAAATACGCAGCACGGTGGCACAACTGGAAGAGCTGCTGCCTCTCAGCGAGCAGGTCTTTGGTTCAAATCCCGGTCCAGGGGCCTTTCTGGGTGGAGTTTGCATGTTCTCTCCGTGCATGCGTGGGTTTTCTCCGGGTACTCCGGTTTCCTCTCACAGACCAAAAACATGCATGTTAGGCTGATTGGTAACTCTAAATTGTCCCTAGGTGTGAGTGAGAGAGTGAATGGTTGTTTGTCTCATTTGTCTCTATGTGTCCCTGTGATGGACTGAGACCCGTCCAGGGTGTACCCCACCCCTCACACATTGATTGCTGGACATGGGCACCGGAGACCCCCGTGACCCAAAATGGAATAAGCGGGTAAAGATAATGGATGGATGGATGTATAAAATACTTTCTAATGATGTTATAAGTATCATTATATATGTTGTTTGTTGTTGTGGTTTCTCGGTTTTGTGTTTTTTTTCTTTCCGCAGGTCTAGAGGCAGACTTCAATTATGTTGATTTGAGTTCTCTTTATCCCTCTCTCTCCTCTATTCCTATCTCCTTCTTTACCTTTTAACACTTCTCTCACTTTTCTGCTTTGTTTTCTCCGGGTAGTTTTTTTTTTTATCCCCATGTCCATAAAATAAATAAATAAATAAAAACTACATGTCTACTTTGTTTAACAATCTGATTGATTTAGGGACAAATTAATTTTTAAATCTGTTAAATTTACAAGCTGGGACTCTAAACCATTTTCCAGATGGTAACAGTTCGTATTGTGAGTTGAGGATGTGAGCGGGGTCAGACAGTTCCCTCCGAGCACGTCTGAGGACAGACTCATCATAGACAGACTGCAGGGAGGGGTGATCAGTCCTTCATTGCAGTTTGTACCATGTGACCAAGTTTAGTTGTGACCACGTTGAGATTTAAGTTGCACAGAGAGATTACCAAACCACGCTGACATTCCAAACCTGATGATACTTTCCAATACG